CTTCCGGAAATTAAACGAGCATCCATCTTATAAATGTGCGAAATATATCATACACGTGAGTCGCCAGTGAATAATTACGCATGCGTCTGCCAAAGTAAATAACCACGTTCAACTCTGTATCCACGTGGTAACCTCGAAAGATATTAAAGACCTTTCTAAACGCATTGAGCGTAAACAATGCGGTTTGCAAGAGTCACCAGCGAGCGGGAACACTTGACGTCATGTAGTTGCTAGCTGGTTATGATACTGCACAAAATGGACAATTGGTTAAAATATTGATGTTCATTATACGTTTACGAGGGGGTGGGTGACAGCACCACGCCCGGCCGCCTTTGTCTCCCCAGTGGCGATGTTCACACACCACACCAATTACTCGTTTAAGGCTTAGTCGACCTAGGGGAGGCCCAGGAGCGGTTGAAATAATCGTCACCGGTGGTGGCCGTGAGCGGGAATTGAACTCGGGTCGCCAGGTTCATAGCGCAGCGTAGCGCTAACCACAACACTACAATGCGTTACGCTTCCACATGCGCGGGTCACATGACAGATTTGACGTCACAGCTCACTTGCCGTGCAAAAATAATATGCATTATTGAGCTCCCCCCCCCCCCCCAAAGTGTATTTTTATATTTTTTGCATGGTGTACAGTCTGGAAAGTACCCACTTGGCAAATTTCATGTTTGTTGCATGTAGGGAAGTACGCTAAACATTTTGAACAGACACACATATGAACAACTTTGCCTTTTATATATGCAGATTTATGGATCAGGCAAGGGGGTTACTCGGTTGAAAACAAATTCAACGAGGGGGTACACGGTAGCCAAACAAGGTTGAGAACCACTGGCTAAGAGGGTGTTAAGAGTCTCTCCGCTGCAGCTGGGGTCCCCCAAGCGTTGCCTCAGGAGCCCCACATCACACGAGTGTCACCACGAGGTTGGTCAGTTTATCACGGAGTAGTAGTAGGAGGAGTAGTAGCAGTAGTAGGAGGAGTAGTAGGAGGAGGAGTAGGAGGAGTAGTAGCAGTAGTAGGAGGAGGAGTAGTAGGAGGAGTAGTAGCAGAAGTAGTAGCAGTAGTAGGAGGAGGAGTAATAGTAGGAGTAGTAGCAGTAGTAGTAGCAGTAGTAGGAGGAGTAGTAGCAGTAGTAGTAGCAGTAGTAGTAGGAGTAGTAGTAGGAGTAGTAGGAGTAGTAGTAGTAGGAGTGGTAATAGTAGGAGTAGTAGTAGTAGGAGTAGTAATAGTAGGAGTAGTAGTAGGAGTAGTGATAGTAGGAGTAGTAGTAGTAGGAGTAGTAATAGTAGTAGTAGGAGTAGCAGTAGTAGGAGTAGCAGGAGTAGGAGTAGTAGTAGGAGTAGTAGTAGTAGGAGTAGTAGGAGTAGTAGTAGGAGTAGTAGTAGGAGTAGTAGTAGTAGGAGTAGTAGGAGTAGTAGTAGGAGTAGTAGTAGTAGGAGTAGTAGTAATAGGGGTAGTAGTAGGAGTAGTAATAGTAGGAGTAGTAGTAGTAGGGGTAGTAATAGTAGTAGTAAGAGTAGTAGGAGTAGTAGGAGTAGTAGGAGTAGTAGTAGTAATAGTAGGAGTAGTAGGAGTAGTAGTAGTAGTAATAGTAGGAGTAGTAGGATTAGTAGTAGTAGGAGTAGTAGTAGGAGTAGTAGTAGTAGGAGTAGTAGTAGGAGGAGGCTTTCGCAACCAATATCCAGAATCAAGATTTTTTTTGGTCTTCTAGTTCTTTCGGTAAAGTCACATAGAATGCAAATAAAATAATAAAAATAAAACATGTTTTAGTTCAGTCACGAAAGCTGTAAAACGAAAAAAAAAATTGGTGTTAGATCGCGTGAAAATGATTGTGTCGTTAAACCCGCCACCACCCGACGCTGTAACTACCGTATTTTTCCGCATATAACCCGCATACGCATATACCCCGCAAAAATAGCGTTTTGTGTAAAACAAATTTCAGATAGCCCGCACCTCCATATACCCCGCATGCACTCATATCTTTAACGTCGTTACTGCAGCCTAATTTCTTCATAGTAATACGAAGTTTACATTTGTAATACATTCCACTATCAATTGTTAACATTAAAATCATAACGTGCACAGAGAAAACAAACTAACCGGAAACGAGTGAACTTAAAACAGTAAATAGGTAACAAAAGTAAATATCCAATAAATAAGTAACACATAACTGGTAGATAAGTAAGTACAGTTTTAGCACTGGTAGATTGCGCACTGCGCAGATAATAGCGGCACTACGGTAACCACGTCGCCTCGCCCCCAACCCCCCACCTCTCTCTCCTCCCAGCTCTCCCGTCGCCGGTAAACAAAGTGCGCCCACTTCAAACATTATCGTTTCATTGTACAAACAATTCGAATCGTTTAAAACGTGATAACATGTGCAATTTTAGTGTGAGTGGTTTATTCAGCAGTGCTTTAGTCAAAGGTAAGTGTTGCATAGTGGATAGTCCTACCATGAAAAAATTAAACGAGTCACACGTGTAAAATATTTTTGGGATAGCCCGCACCTTCACATACCCTGCAGGATCTTGTTTTGATTTAAAGCTTTCGTGACTGCAGTAATTCATATCCTTAGCTATTTCAGTAAAGTCACGTTGAAGCGAAACAATAAAATAATAATAATATATATAAAAAACAATAAAAATTCTCACGACGTTTCGACCATAACACAAACGGTCATCATCAGGTTGTTTTTTCACACCTGATTACCGTTTGTGTTATGGTCGAAACGTCGTGAGAATTTGTATTGTTTTATATATATTATTATTTTATTGTTTCCCTTCAACGTGACTTTACCGAAAGAGCTAAGAATATGGGTCTTGTTTTGTTTGTAAAAAGTGGTATACCCCGCGGGTTATATGCAGGAAAATACGGTAATTGGCACGTTTTGTGCACGTGACAAACCTTGCTAATTGGCTGTGTCGGGTGGCGGCGGGTTCAACGACACATTTATATTTACGCGATCTAACACCTCAAAAAACATTCCCCTTTATTATTGCATCACCACACTCCACGTTGGCACAGGTGCAGAAGGCGCCACGCCACCGCTGTAGGTTTACCACTCCCGTGCGTGCGCGTCGCCTATCCCCCTGCGAATGGACCATTTGACCGCCATCCTCTCGTTCGCGTGGGTTTCCTCAGGGTGACGAGGGGTCTCTTCCCACACGTAACGCGACTGTGCCGAGCGGAATCCTCTTGACAAGCAGTCGTGGCCACGAGCGTTTGCTGGCTTCATTCCAGCATTGTTACCACTTCTGGTAGAAATGACGACGAAAGTTTAAAGTTTCTCTTACATCGTGTTGTTTGGGACCTGTTTCAAGTAAAATGTGTAACATTAGCGTTCAATAATAAAGCTCAGTGGCCCAAGGCCGTGGAAGCTGCTTAATAAAACGATCGTATTTTCTGTATATTACTGAGCATTTGTTACGCGTGGGTGCAGTGGCTAAAACGCTGCCATGAAATCCTCGTGACCTGGGTTCGATCCATGGCCATACACGAAACCCGCGGCAACGCAGTATATGAATCCCTGCACGGGTATCCCCTGGGTCGACTCAGCCTCAATTGAGTTACCGTGAACATCGGCGCTGGAGGAACGCAGCCAGCGGTGCAGCGTGTTCACCTAAGCTGCCCCTCGTTCGTTATGGCCTGCCTTAATAGGTGCTCGCGAGCAGAAACATTTTTTTCGGTGCTGTAGGGCTAAATGGGGGACGTTTGTCATCGCACGTAAGCAACGTTGAATAATGGACCTGTGTCGTGTCAAGCACACTTTTGTTTCCGGTGAACCAGGCAGGGTTGCTTTAGGTGATCAAGTTACAAAACCAGCCAGCAGCTCTCTTTGCGCTTGACAGCCATTCAATTAAAATAACAGCAACCCCCCCCCCCCCGTTCACACCGCTAAGCAGCATGTGTAGCATACCTGTAACGTGTTAGACATTCATGACATGTATGGCTTACATTTAAATAAGATATAGTTGCGTGCGTGAGACTGGCTTGTGAAATGCAATATTTCCTGCAACCGTGAAGCATTTCCCGTCGTTCCCGTGCATGGCTGGGCTTCGCTTTTGTTCCCACCTCTCCCGGGCGGAGGGTTTCAAGAGGCTGCTGCGGTGCCCGGAGGTCTGAGCTGAGCCGACAACCTGAGGTCCTGGGTTCGAATCCGGATTTTAGCCGCCCCTCAATTGTCGCGAGTTTATTCCCGCAGCCCAATGCCCCAATGAACGCGCGCAACAAAACAAAAAACCCATCGCATTAAATTTCTTCCCACGATTCACTTGGTCGAATTTCAGATTTGCTAGGCGGGCGTCACAAGCCTCGGAGGCCTGGCGGGGCCAGGCGCTATTTGACGCATCCATCGTGCGCGATGTCATCGATGCGACTCAAACGCAGTGACATCGCATCACCTACACGCCACTCGTACACCCGTTCATTGCGTGTGGCGTCAGTGGGTAGCCTGCGAGGACGCGGCATCGACTCATCACGTACACGCGACTCGACCCATTGATTGTACGTCAGTGCGTATGCCGTGATGCCACGGCGTCGCTCCGTCACCTAGGTGCGACTCGGTCATGAATTGCGAGTGACGGCATTGGCGTGGCTCGGCTCGGCTTCTGCGGTGAAAACACGACCCCCCAGCACGGCCCCTGGGTCATGCGGCGAGATGTTGACTACCTCGTCCGGTATGCAGGAGGTCGTGGGTTCGATCCCGACCCTGACGCCTGCTGCTGCTGCTGTATATTTGGAGTTTGCATGTTTCTCCCACCGCTTTTTCCATCCGCATTCAGAATCAAGGTGCATTCAGGGTATTTGGTGGCTGTACATTTTTTTTCTCCACACGACGATGAGCCACTGTCGTCGTGCTATCATTTGCGGCCAAGGTCGCTCCTGAAAAGGAGCTTCACGGCGCGGTGAGAAAAAATAAATAAAAGAGTTCATAGTTTTAGTTTGGGGAAACTGGAGAGGTGTAACCCGGCGAACCCCCGTTGGCGTGTTGCAGAACGTGCTGTGGAGCCGGGCGGAGCAGGACGACGCCGCGTCGGTGCGGTCGGGCAGCACCCCGGGGCCTTCGTCGGGCGGCCACGCGTCCCACAGCGGAGACAACTCGAGCGAGCAAGGTGCACGACCTCCCCCCCAGCCTCCCCCTACCCACCGTCCCCCCCCACCAGCCCCGCCCCCGTGCGTACACCGCTCACTTCGCTCACTCGCTCGCTCGCCCGCCAAGGCGGGGGGGCGAGAGAATTAGGAGCGATGGCGCTCCATCAGGCTTCATGCATATTCTATGCACTTGGAGCTATACAATGCCATTTGGCTTTTAGGGTATCTCGCAGGGAGACGCTGCTCGTACTTACTACCACTGTGCGCATTCACACACACACACATAAATATATATATACACACACAGACTGGATATGCTTGGGTGTGTCAATTCTCTGTTGGACGTTAGGGGCCCTGGAAAAGCCGTCGGGGTCAAACAACGTTGGGTAAAAATGGGGGTCTGAGGCCATCGTAGTCTGATCAAGAAATGCCCCAAACGATGCGGCTGGGGTGTGTTCCAGTTGGCATTGCAGCGGCACTCACGAACGGAGAATGTGGAGTTCGATTCCAGGTCAAGGCCAACTTGTAGATTTAGATTTCATTTATTTTGTGCGGGAAAACGAATTTCTTTAGAACTGATTTTTGTGTTTAGTTTGTTGTTGTCCTGCCTCACCTCCGATTGGCACGGTTGGCTACATACGGTGCGACATAGGTTCAACATGCACATATATAGGGCCTATTACACAGGCGCCCTGCGATGGTACAGATGTTACACAGTACAGGTTTTAGGTACCATCATGGTTAGATAGGTCGCGAGACATCGTCATCATCATCATCAGCCCTCTGGGACAGTGGAACGATGAGGCGGCGCTGGGGTCATTGTAACTTGCATGTAAATGGCTCGGTATGAATAGAATAATGATTAAGGCGAGGGGCTGAACTGAAACAAAAGCTACGTGTCATGGTTTAACATTCGAAGTATGCGACAGCCATAAAAGCTTTTGTTGTGAATGCACTGATGGACGTACGTTGAACTTCTTTCGCACCGCACGTAGCCAACCATGCTAATCGGAGGTGCGGGGGAAGGACAACAAACTAAACACGAAAAGCAGTTTTATGGAAATGAGTTTTCATTCTTTATTTAAAAGTTTATAGCTCCAGTGGCTTCCTAATATCGGAGGGAAGAGCGTTCCAGACGGCCACAGAAGCGCATACAAAAGCGCGCGATGCGGTGACCGTCTTTGTAAGACGGCTAGCCCACAGCCACTCCCAGGATGGCCGGAGTTCGCGTGATGCCGTGCCATTCATGGGATTGTGTGACCATACTTAGCTCGGCTGGTCAGTAGGTGTTGGTAAAGGTGGGTTGCAGGACTGGTTGAGGTGTCACTCAGCACGCACTCGCTACTCATGTTAGCTGCGGTTAGGAATCGAACTTCGCTTTTACCACTGCACCGCCACTCACCCCTGCATATTACATTTATCAGCATCTGTGGATGAGTGGTATCATAGATGGGAGCGGTAATGCAGCAATTAGCGCACTGCACTACGAACCCAGCAGCCCGAGTCGGATTCCCGCTCACAGCCAACACTAGTGAAAATTATATTAATTGCTCCTGGGCCTGCCCTAGGTCGACTCAGCCCCAAATGAGTGGCTGGTGTGGTGTGTTAAACATCGCCGCTAGGGAGACGACAAAGGCATCCGGACGTGGTGCTGGCCACCCACCCTCTCGTGTGCCGTGCTGGCCTTCATAGGTGCTCGCAAACAGAAGCACTTGCCCCAAAAGAATGTGAAGGCTACACGGGGGATCTTTGATCTTTGTCATTGCCATAGTGATCACGAATGCAGTGGCCTACAGCCGCCAATGACCTGGGTTGATTTGATCTCATGCGGCACGCTGGGGTGCAGTCCCAGCCGAATATTGAAACCCAGGCGGGCGGCAGTGCTGGCTCTCAGGGCTCTGTCATATGGGTCGCCCAGCCAGCCACAGCCCACGCGTGCCTCTCTGCACTGATGCCTCAACGTTCCTTACCCCCGCCATACACACTTGTATGCGCAAAACGCAGAGTCTACTATCCGGATACAAATGCGCGTTTGTGCGTCCGTTCACTCCGGGGACTCGCAGTGGCGCTGCAGGTGTGTTTGCCTGTGACCCGTGGATGCCACAGGCAGGTTAATAATTCATGTGGCAGGCCTTCCTGAGGAAAGGAGGAGAGAAAAGGGCCCAGCCTGGGCTAACCCCTGCCTCCCGTGGGTTGGTCTGGGGCTCCGAGTGTGCCCAGCTAAGGGACCTGTGGCAATGCGTGATTTATTAATTAACGTACGCGCAATGCACGGGCAGCGGCAGACTCGCATCGCCAATGTTTGTTGATCGGTCTGTACAGACGTCCATTCATCATTTAACCGAGTGAGTGCCAAGTGAGGTTTGCCGTCGTCACCTTTGCGGGGGTGATCTGCATCAGTGCAGTGGTGGGGGGAGGCTGGTTTGTTTTTAACGATTTGTCGGGTCGGTAGTTTTCGAACCACGGACGGGGGCTTTGACGCCGGCACATGGGTACGAGAATTGCCAACGGGCATTTGATGCCCAGCAGCGGTGGAAATAAATAAATACAAAACCTTCGCTTCCCGCGATGCCGTCCCGGAGTAAACCGTGCGTGCCGCCAGGCTGCTCGCTTTCCCTGACGTGGACAATTTGCCGGCGGTTCAGAACAGAATCAGAATCTGTATTTATACTGGAGGAGGAATCCGATGACCTGTGAAGCCCCTTTTCACAGATGTCCAGTCGGGGCACGGGGTAAGGACGTTACAATAGCGGCGGGTAAGAGACGGGCTTGGAGAGTCAAGTAGGAGCGTGCCCTCCCCCACCTCCCGAGAAGTAAGTTGGATGACAATGGGAATTTGCAGGACGTCCACACACGCGCCGATTACCTAAAAAAAAACCGGCAGATTAACTCGGGGGTCATAGCAATTAAAAGGCGCCGCGCGGAAGTCTCATTTCCCACGAACTCGCCGCCCGCTCTGCGGCAGCCGGCAACAACCGTCTGTGTGTCTGCGAAGACTCAGTAGGCGTGAATCCCCGTGGCCCGGAGGCCTTAAGCGCCTGCGACGGTCCCCGCTTTCCCTTTCATTGCATGCTGAAAAAATGTTTCGTGGCCGTGGCTCGGATACCCAGGTGAGGGTTTTTTTTGGAAGCGGCCGGGCATGGCCTTGGCAAGCTGCACCCTGTCGGGCACGGCACGCCTTTAGAATGGGATGATGGTCGTTGTAATAATGGTAAGTGCGGTGATTTAACCAGGAAAGTCTCACTGCGCGTCAAGACTTTTTGCGGAGAATCCTGGTTTGGGATGTTTGCCGGTTCCTTTCATGAGTGTCGTTTGTATGTGGAGTGGATGGGGGATTGGGGGAGAAAATCGTCATTCGCTGCTCAGAGATAGTGATGGAAATTCCACATTGCTATGGTGGGGGAGAGTCTATCAATGGGACAACCACTGTTGATTGACCTGCAGAGTGGTGCTATATTTTATCGACCCTGGAGGGGTGATTGGCTGAGTGAATCTCCAATGAGAACTACCGATTTTGCGTCGCTCGCTCCACCGCTGGGCCACGTGGCCGGGTTACAGAGATTTGGACATCGCAGCTTGGCAGTCAGCGGCCCACCGGCCCAGAACTCACCTATCCACTCACTCACCAATTCACCCACCCACTCACCCACTCAGCAATCCGTCAGCCTGGAACTTACCCACCCACCCACTCACCTACTCACCCACCAACCCACTCACCCACTCAGCGGTCCATCGGCCTGTAACTCACTGCCGCAGCATTTTCGAGATTCTTTTAAGACATTTATCCAGTTTAGTAAAAAATTTAAGTCAGACCTCTTTAGTAGAACTTACAGTGTATGAACATTGTGCACACTCGTGATAACCTAGGTTATAAGAGTCCCGAAGCTATTCCGGAAATTCTACATTAATATGACAGGGGCCAGTCTCTCCGTAATGATGATAACAATTTCATGTTGAAACACCTTCACTTTTACTCGCTCAGCAAGAGCATTTAAAGTGTTCTATTCGAAGCACCCTTCTGATGTCACTGCAGTGATGCTCCATGAGAGAGTACGTAAGAGATGCTTCAGGGTCATCACCAGACTGCTCTTAACCTTGGCTTTAAAGTATTTTATTTTTTCATTAATAGATCATCAAATTCGTGTCTGTCAGCCTTGGAACACCGCAAGACTTATCTGCACCACGAGAGCTAATGTATTGGTTATTTGGGTTGCATCCAATTTTAACCCACGTTAATGATAAACGCTACGATACTTTATATATAGTGTAAGAGTGCAACTATACACGATCCGGGCCAGGTGGCTCTAAAATTCGAGTTTGGGACTCTCAATTCGAGTTGCAGTCCCCATCATAGGTCAGCTCGGCGCTGAGGTAAATGGATGCCGCTTCTTAGGAGGTCACCTTAAGGGTAGTCAGGCCCACGCCACGGGAATGTGGAATGCACGCCACTGGTTCTGAGACCCCCCCCCCCCATGGATATGCGTGCCACCGCGTTGCTCGTGTGAGGAGTCAAGACGCCGTGAATTTTAGCGTAACGTGGACCGTATGTACGTACGTATGTACGTATGTATGTACGCATGTGCGTACGTATGTATGTACGCATGTACGTACGTACGTTGAACTTCTTTCGCACCGCACGTAGCCAGCCGTGCCCATCCCAGTTGTAGGGGAAGGACAACAAACTAAAGATAAAAAGCAGTTCCAAAGAGGTGAGTTTTTTTAGTTTAATATTATGGTGTAGTTTATAGTGCAGTGTATAGAGTGTATAGTGTAGTGCATATTAGTCTAGTGTATAGTAGTGTATAGCGTTGTGTGTGTAGTCTATAGTCGTGTATAGTGTAGTGTATATTAGTGTAGTGTATAGCAGTGTATAGCGTAGTGTGTGTAGTCTATAGTGTATAGTCGTGTATAGTGTAGTGTATATTAGTGTAGTGTATAGTAGTGTATAGCGTAGTGTGTGTAGTCTATAGTGTACAGTCGTGTATAGTGTAGTGTGTAAGTATGTTGAACTAATTTTGCA